TAGCATCTGAAGACAGACAAAAGATAGATAACCGATTCTAAACAACATAGTGGACTCTCCTCTTGTTACATCATTTACGGGCAAAAAATTATTAAAATTAGAAACAGAAACAAAAGAAGCTTTTAGACTTATATCCTAATATCATTCGTACGCATACTGATAAAGGTAACATCACAGTAATCTTCATAAAGATACGTCAAAAAAGTTAACGAAATACTTCAAGATAAAGAACGTGATGAAATAATGAAAAAAGATCCTACTAATAAGCTTATAAAAACTCTTAGAATTTTATTTTCAAGATAGAAGGAATGCAATTACATTGATAACTCTCAACAGACACTTATCATACAGTGATAGTTCGCTGCCGAGAGTCTATGCACTACCGAAGATACATAAATCAAATTGGATCCAATACGGAATCATTGTATCGTCGTTTGCTAGTCGATATAAGTTAACCTCATTTTTACACCGCATAATATTTGAAGCAATCCCCAAAGCGGAAGGTTATATTAGAAACAGTTTTCAACTTGAGAAACTAAAGGGTTTAAATATCGAAACAAATTATGAATTAATTACGCTTAATGTCCTTTCATTGTTTACGAACATTTCAATAGAAGTAACTATATTGGGAACGTCCGAGGGGAAAAGGAATGTTGTTTAAGGAATAGATTCAGCAACTATTTGTTCTCACACCTTTATTCGGGTCGCCCACTATTGTGCGTGCGTGCGCGTTCTCTCTCTGCGCAAGCCCCTCACTACACGCTCACACAACAGTAGCCATAGATTGCGTAAACGAAAACTGGAATTTTATTATAAAAAAAATTTTCTATACCTGAACAGAATTTCTGACAGCAATTAGTTTACATTAGATTCTACTTATTTTTTATTTAACAACCATCTATAAACAAAACTTGGTATTGCAAAAATTAGAGAGAACTGTCTTGATGTTATTTAATGATCATGTATTATTTTATTATTGATATAACTATTGATGTGACTATTTATGTGCTGCTATTCCTTCTTCAAAAATATATCAGTTTTTAGAGTGCTTTAATTCTTTTCATACTCGTCTTCAATTTACACTAGAAATAAGTCATGACTCACTAAACTTTTTAGATGTTTTAATCATGATTACTGGTAACGAACTCAATTTTGATTAGTACCACAAACCTTTTCGGGGAGATTTCTGAATTCTTTCTAAATTTTTTTTCAAATTGTCCTCTCAAAAAAAAAAAGAAATAATTATTAGTTTAACAAATAGAGCTTTTTTACTTTCTGAAAAATTTCATACTAAAAATCTAACAATAATCGAAATATTACTACTTAATGATTACCCTCATAAATTCATTTTTGAAACAATAAATAACATCAAATGCATTCTAAAAAGAAAGATAATATCACATAATAACTTAGAAGAGAAAGACGAATCATCAATGTCCCCGTCATGGTTCATAGTTTTTTTTATTCTATGACGGATAAATTAAAAAAATTTAATAGAGATGACATCAAGGTTTCTTTCTATAGTTCGAACAAATTAAGAAAATACATTAAAGTACATAAAGATCCCCGACATTATTTTTCAAAAAATAATGTTGTCTATAAGATCGATTGTGTTGAGTGTGATGCAACATATGTAGGACAGACTGATACAAAATTGAAGACAAGAATTAATGAACACAAAAATCATATTCGGTGGAATATGATTTTTATCATATCTACTCGATTAGTTATAACTGAGCATAGATATATTGCAACATGGACATAACTTTAATTAGGACAAAATTAAGATTTTAGACAAAGAACCTTGTTATGATAAGCATTTGATCTCCGAAATGTAAAATATTAAAAAATAAAAGAAAACAGTCTAAACCTATAAACGGATACTGAGGACTTACATAAAGCTTACATACCGCTAATAAACAAAATCTGACATTGCAATACCAAAATTATTTTATTATTTTTTCAGTCAATGTTCGTCTGTCGTGATGATAACATATATGTTTATCAAGTGTCTCATTTGAAATACCATTTTATAATAATATAATAATTATTATCTATATACATCTTTAATTTTATATTGTGACTAATTTTTCCTACTATTGTTAGTATTTTATTATAGACTAACACTGACTTATAACACTGGCTTCATAGTTTAGAAATTGACGAACATCTTTTTTATTGCGACATATGAAATTTAACTTTACGGCCAATTAGGTGAATTATTTTTACCAGAATTAGGATTCTACTCGAATTTTTCTTATTCTCTTGATTTATTTTCAACTTGACTTGTTACCAGAAACACCGGGAAATTTTAAACAATCGATCGTCCAGCCGTTTGCGAGTAATTTTCGTTTCTCTGCATAACATCTCACTGATCATCATCACTATGTGTATAATTTTGTTTATCTCTTCGACTGCTCTCAACCAATGTAACATCACCTGTATTCATATCTGAAGAATTATTGAGCATCTCGAACGAACCTGGATATAATATACAGAGTGTACACATAGAGACATGCACATACAGAGTGCATCCATGGCAATAGGGTAATGCCTAGACATAATCCTTGTCGGGATTGCAGATTACATCCGGGTGTCACCTTGTCACTGAGGACCCGCAACGTTGTACATTCTGTATATAGTACCGCAGT